TTATTGGTGGTGGTGGTGCTGGTGTACCGCAACTTCCACGTACTCCAGAAGGCCATTCTGGTTCGAGTCCATATCATCGAACACTTCGAGCAACTCTTGCACGTCGCTCGCATCAACCATGTCAAAATTAAGCAACATGTGCACTACATATTCATACTTTGTAAGAGAGCCGCTGTTGTCGGCATCGATCATCCGGAAAGTCTCTTCACTCATGCCATGAGACACTGTACGCTTCACAGAATTGGAATTCACCGCACGCGCGAGCTGACCGAGAAATTGTGCCATAGAAGCGACTCCAGCCACCATCCAAACGGATGCAAAGAGTCGGCCCAACCAATTTCCAGGAACAACATCACCATAACCTACAGTGGTTAATGTAATGCAAGACATGTAAAAGGCCTGGAGGACAGTGCGCCGAGTTCCGCCGAGATCCAGACAGCTCTGCGTCTCACCGAAAGGAAGCACCACATCGCACGTATCAAAATCCTCGCAGACGCAGTAATCCACGAAACTGAAAAATACTGTCCCCAGTGAGATCATCGTCAAGAATGCCAGGAGCGCTTTTGGGGCCCAGAACAAGTCCACTGCAATGTTCCTCACAATCCTTCCGCCTCTCTTCCCAAAGGTCCTGAGGAAAACGGGTCCTGAAGACTCTGGGTCTTCCCTCAGGTCCAGCTTTTCATCCTGAGTCGTTTCTTGGCAGTCATGCGGCCCAGACAGGGCCCAAAAGTCCACCCGAATCAGCGAAAAAACGCATGGCCCTTTTCCCTCAGGGCAAGTTCTCTTCCAGGGAACCTGCTCCTCCCCCTCTCCGGTACTGAAAAAAGCGGGAGGAGGACAGGAGGGCGCCAACTATCCACCAAACACCAGTCCTGGCGATGCTCATCTTGGGCCCGAGATTGGCCTGGCCAAAGTCGACCAGGGCGGAATGTTGGCATCCTATGAACGAGCGGAGTGACCTGGACCTCCAGTGTCGCGACTTCCTGTTCTTCACGATACGGGGCCTCTGGAGCTCTCAACCCCTTCTCCAGAGCCGAGTCTTCACCCAAGGTCGTTGATGTTCGACGGCCCTGTGGACCACAAAATCGCCCCTGGACTTCAAAGGCGACAGAGAATCCCGCGGCGCGACCTGGGACTCCGCCCTGAAGGGGGGAGGAAGAGCGCATTGGGCTGGGGGTCCGCGGAGGCCTCCCGCGGACGGAAGGCCCGGGCGGCTCAAAGTCCCCACGGCCCTCTGGGCGCAGGTGGCTCCGGGAAACTTCCCTGCTCCGGCCCCCCTTCTGCCACCTCGGGGGGGGGGGGTTGCCCCTCCCCCTGCGCCCTGCCCTGGGCTTCGACGGGTGGCTGCGAGCGGTCAGAGCGTCCAAAAGATGGCCCCGGGCTGGCCCCAGATAACCCAGGATGGCCTTCAAGACGGCGGCACGATAACCAGAGATAGCTCAAGATGGCCTTAAGCATGCCTCCAGGAGGGCCCAAGACAGCGAACAAAACTCGTCGAGGTGTACACGAGGCCTCCCATGGACACCTCCGAGAGGTCAAACGTTCCTGGGGAAACCTAAAACTTGTCGCATGACTGGGGTTTTCTCACCTTCTCGCTTCTGGTGGGCTTCCGAGGCCAACAGGTTGCGACAAGATCACCCAAGACAGCCCCTAGGGGGGCCAATGATGGCGCCAAGACGCCCCCAAGCAAAGGCCCTCCTCAACTGCGTCCAAACACCGTCCCAGCTCCAACAGGCGATTCTCTGGACTCACGAACGGCAACGCTACTCAAACATGTCCTTAATAGCAATATCAATAGCCGTTGTAGTAAACGTGGCATCCATATACAATGAGACACATACCTACACATACACAGAAATGTTGGGACACCTAAGAAACGTGTGAAGGATGTTGACCTCGTAGGGGGCATACTTGGGGGTCCTTTGAACCAAGATGGCTCCGAGGTGGCTCCAAATCGCCTCGGAGCACCCCAAGAACACTCCAGGGGGCGAAAGTCCTTCAAAGCCAAAGGGTGCGTCTATGACGTGTGCTTTCTCACTTTTGCGCGTGCGATCGGCCTCTTGGGTCTCAAGATGGCTCCAACAAAACCCACAGAGCCCAAGAGGGGCCCAGGAGGGCTCCCAGACGCCCGAAAGGCCCCAAGGAACGCCCCAAGAGAATTCCAACAAGGCCCCAAGAGGCGACTTGTCGGGTTCCGACGGAGAGGCCCCAATTCAAGCCGCTCACGTTGTTGCTCGACGGCCTCAAAGATGGCCCCAACGGCTCTGAAGAGGGCCCCAAGAGAGCTCCAGTAGGATCCCAAAAGCACTCATAAGGGCTCTAAGAGGGCTCCAATAAGCTCCGAGAGGCCTCCATCCCAAAAGATCCTCAAATTCACAACTATGGACCTCTTCGCCTCATTACATGACGTGCTCCGATAACTGTTTATACCTAACTTGCTTTTCATGTATTGGTTTACTTCCGCCATCTTCCGCTAACCTTCCACGAACTTCCGCCTAACGCAAATGCATGACTGTCCGCGCTTTCGCAACTTTCCGCCAACCTTCCGCGACGCGTAACACATCACCGCACCCGCTTCCGCCGCCTTCCGCTTCGCTTCCGCAACCATCCGATGCGCGTAGTTCGAGAACATCCTCAACAACGCAAGCAAAATGTAATGCCCTGCAAGGGCCCAGAATGCCACGACAAACACCTTCTACATGTGTTGTCGCTGGAGGGCGCCAACAAGGGACCAGAACACGACGACACAGCGCGCTTTTCATTATCGATTCTGGGCGCCAGGGGCCAAGCAGCGAGAACCACACAGCACGATGCGTTCCAGAGGTCTGACCATTGCCTTCTCTTCGTCGTCCTCCTCCTCCTCCTCCGTCTTCTCTTCCTTCGCCCCTCTTCCCATCTCCTCCTCAGCACTTGCTCCTCTTTTTTCTCTACATCCTACTCCATCCCTCGTCCTTGTCAATAACTCCGCCCTGTCGGCCCCCCAGACGTGCTGGTAGGGCGCGCCGGGCGATGTGTGATTGGAGGGGGGGCACGTTCACAATGTGGCTCTCGCCTTAGCGCCGCGCACATTCATTTCAACAGGTTGCATCAGCTTGGCACGTGGAGTGAGGGTCTCGCATGAGCGCCGCGCATATTGTGTAAAATATTGCGACATGTTCACGGATGGCGGGGGCGTTTACAAAATATTGCTCTCGCCTGAGCGCCGCGCGCATGTCTTAAAAACGTGCAACAGCTCAACAGATGGAGGTCGGATCAGGTTCAACATGTTGCTCTCGTCTTGGAGCCGCGTACACCCGTCTGAAAATTATCCTGGCGACGGATCCAAACACATGCTCTTGTGAGTGCCGCAAATGTGAATATCTTATTTGGTGGAACTCCCTATGAGGCCACGGAGCGCTGCGCTGGGTGGGGGGAGAACGCACGCGGGCGGTAGCACTGGACCGTCGGTGGAGCCCCCTTTTCGGGCGACTCCACTGCCAGAGGTTCCCGAACTTTTTTCTCTCGTTGTTCATGTTGTGTTATTGTTCCTAGTGTTATTATCATTATTATTATTCGGTCGGCGGCAGAGGGGGGGTCCGATTGGAACCCTGTACAGAGAGAACTTTATTGTACTGCGCCACAGAAGAAATCCTTTTGTGGCGGCCAGCGAACGTGAGGACCTCCGAAAAGGAAGAGGGGAAAACAACAAGGTGTTTTTGTCGGCGGGGGGGGAGGAAGAAAAACAAACACAACGTTTTATTGTTGTTGTTTGGTTCCCCCTTCTCCCTCGGAACTCCCAACTTTTGCTAGCCGCCACAAAAGGATTCCTTTTGTGGCGCATTACAATTGAACTCCTTGTGTGTGGGATTACAATGGGATTCCGTTTTGTGGAGGACTCAATCAGGTTCCTTTAGTGGGCGATCGCAGAAGAATTTCCTTTTGCGGCGGGTTACAATACGGTCCCTGTTGCGGAGGATTTGGAAAAAAAAAATGATTATGTTTGCGGCGTGTTGTTTGTTTTTGTTGTGGGTTCTCTCTCTCTCTCTCTCTCTCTCTTTCTCCCTCTCCTTCATCGGGACCCCAACGTTTCCTTGCCGCCATGCAAGGATCCCCTTTTGTGGCGCATTGCACTTGGATTTCTTCTGTGAAACATTGCGATAGAAATGCTGTTGGCCAAGGTTGCTATATCATTCCTTCTACAGAGGACTCCAACAACATTCCTTTTGCTGACGATTCCACGGGATTTTTCTTGTGACGGGTTACAAACGGATTCCGCTTTGGGAGGATGTCGATGGGATCCCTTTTGAGGGGATGACATTGGGATTACTATTGTGGACGGTTCTTATAATACCCCATGAAAACCGACTGGACGGACCCACCTCTCATATAATCCTATTACAGATGGGCCCACCTCTAATAGATTCATGCTACAGATGGATCCACCCCCTAGAAACTCCTACTACAGATGGGTCCACCTCTAACTCAATCCTCCTACAGATGGGTCCACCTCTAATACACTCCTAGTGCAACTGGGTACACCTCTAATGGAATCCGTTTAAAAATGGACCCACCCCGAATGGGATCCCATAGATCCACCTCGAATGGGGTCCTATTAGAGATGGGCCCACTTCTAATATAATCCTACTACAAATAGATCCACCTTTATGTGTGTTGTAGCATGCAATGTGATTGTTTCGGGCCCTCGCCCTTCTCACCCCCCCCTCCCCCCGCCCTCGAATCTGTCGGCTGGGGGGGGGGGGGGGGCAGGGCAGCGTCGGAGAGCATGTGGGGCCGTGCGAAATAGCACAGCGTGCGATTTGCGTTCTCCGCTCAAGTTCTGTGGGCTCGAGCGTCGATGAAGATCACGCCGGAGCGGAGCCCCATCGATTCGCCGACCTCTCCCCGCGCGGGCAGCGCGATATCTCCTGCTGGCTCATCGCGGGAGCTAGTGGGTTCCGAGAGCGACAATAGCTCCTCTTGTCTTGCTGGGCAGGCGCCGAGCCCGCCGGAGAGTGGGGAGGAGACCTTCGCGACGGTGCGCTGGGGCGGTGCCCTCCTCGTGTTCTCGTTGACTCTGCTGACGGTTGTGCGCGACCTGCCCGGCGGAGACTCGAAGTTCGGTAGCGAGGGGGGCCATCCGCGGAGGCTACGATGCCTATGGAGATATGGAGTCGACGCTACCTGCGTCGAAGCGCCACCGATGGTGTGGAGGTGTTCCTCGCGCGGAGGAAGTCGGGGAACTGCTGGGTGCTGCTCTTCCCCGATCTCAGCATGGGGACGATTCCGGTCACGGCCAAGTCTACAGTGCTCAACGACCCGCTGTCAGGAGTTCGATGGCGTGCGATGCCCGCTCTGTTTCAGATGCAGCGGGACAGCTTCACGACGCAGGCTACCGACGGTTTGAAGGCGGGGACCATCCCCCCACTGGAGCTCTACAGGCCGGGCAGTCAGGCGGCTCAGCGGGCGGCGGCTAACAGCCTGGCCGCCGCGGTGCTAGGGTCGGCTCGGTCCTCGTTTCTCACGTTGCGGTGGGCGCTGCGGTCACCCTGTCGCGTGGCGGGCATGCTGGTTTTGTGCTTCG